GGCCAACGATGTTCAGTATGGCGGTTTGGTGGGCCTGGAAGTGGAGGTGTAGGGATGTCTTTGGGGAACGGAAACTATGCAGGGATAGGTTAAAGTTCATTAAAGATTTGGCGGATGAAGTGCGCAGGGCGCATGCGGGGACCTTGAACAGTTCGCAGCCACATGCACGAGTGGAGAGGTTGATTCGGTGGCTGGCACCAAATGAAGGATGGGTGAAGATTACGACTGATGGTGCGTCCCGTGGGAACCCCGGACTGGCTGCCGCGGGAGGGGCAATCCGGAATGCGGATGTTGAAGACTTTTTTGTGTTTCCCTAATTCTTGTGTGTGTTTGTACTTTTTCTTGTTTTTAATTGAATCTCCTCTTTATATTGTGGCTCATTTTCTTAACATGAAATCAGACCAAATTTTATGAAATTAGAATTCTTTTGTGATCCTTCTTGAACTGTTTAAATATTTTTTTCTATTATTTTGGTTTGAAAGAATAGTCACTGGGGATGAATTTCGAGTTTGGTTTCATCTTTAGTACCCTGAAGTAAACTCCAGTAATTTGATTTGAAACTCTCAGCTCTAAGGGTTTAGAAAACGTTTTAGGTTTTTATCTTTTTCTAAAAAAACCGTAGACAATAACATCTACATTTTTTAGATCGTAATCTATACAATAAATATCTATTTAAATCGTAATCTAAAACAAATATTTTGTTTCCTTTTCTGAAGATTTACTTTCTATATTTAGAACATTCTAAAAATTACAGAAAACGAAATCTACAATTCCGTAGAATTTACATTCTAAACGAAGATTACAATTTCTAACGATGGCAGAAGATGTAGAAATTATTAGAACGGCTATTCAAGAATATTTAGAACATAGAGCAAAGCGTAGAATGCATGTTCTAAATATTTTAGATATATGATTTTCGGATTTCTAAAATTTTCAGAACAGAAATCTAATCTAAATTATGTAGAACAAGTACAAAAATGCAGAATACACACTCTAAGTTTTGCAGAACTCTAGAAAACGTGTTCTAACAAAATTAGACAAAACTTTATCTTTAATTAAATCAACTTTTTTTAAACCAAATCTAAAAAATTTCACTTCAAATCACATCTACTCTTGTATGTCTACATATTTTTATGATTATTTTTTTTTTAAATGTTTAAAATAGGTTGTAGGGGTAATTTTGTCCAAACTGACAATCTCACCAAAAAAGTGTATATGGACAAAAATTTTAGTAGATATCCTTTATTTCCAATTTTTCCTTTAAAGAAAGTAGGATACATAGGATTTAAGCAAGATTATACGAAAAACTTCGTTTTTTAATATCTTAAATTATTTTTTAATTTTTTTTTTTGAATTAATGTCAGTGGCATATCATTGTAAATAGTAGTGAACTCCATGATTTATTTACTAAATGTCTCCAAAAATGTATATATGTATATATAGATTAGATGATCTAATCCCAGTCCCAGCCGAGGTGTGAATTTTTGAAGACCCTTCACTAACAAGTAACAACCATTAAAAAATTTTAAAGTGATGACATTAGCTAGAAATCACCAATAATTCCTAGAATGGTATAAATCCTTCCAACTCTATATTCCAGGAAAACAATTAGAATGTTTATTTCTAATCTACTTCCCTTGCTATCTTTACGCGGAAGGACGTCGGTATTTAATATTCTTTTTTTTTTTTATAACTCAGGGGAATCTCAGACCTATGTAGGGGCCCAGACTAATCCCTTGGGGGAGGTGCAGCCCACAAATAGACTCTCACTCCGGGTATGCAAATAGGCCGAAAGCAAGGGCCCATATCCATGTGGCCAAGTGGAGATCTAACAATTGCGCGCTTGCGGGGAATCGATCCCTGGCCTAGACCAACAGGGCAACTCCTCCACAAGTGGCAACCACTAGACCAAGAACACTTGGTTAATCGGTATTTAATATTCAACAAGAATCTAAGCTAAATATCCATTTCGTTATCAACTCAGTGTGAGGTCTCGAATCCTATTGTGATAGATCTTATACTTGTTCATTTTACTCCAAAATAAAGTTTTTTTTTTTCGTTTTTCTAATTTACAGCAGATTCTGAGGAAGAAGAAGAAGAAGAAGAAGATGAAGCCAAAATCTGATTTATTGTCCCACGGAGGAGCCAAGTTGTTAGAGATCTGATCGAATGTTGCGATGGAAAATCCAATCCCATCAGATTCTCTCTGCTGACGTCTGATGAGATCCGCAAAGACACCAACAATTACAGCAGATTCTGGATTAGATTTTCGCTTCAAATGGTATTCAGGCAAGAACGAGAACCATCCCATGATACTCATCAGGAAAGATGTTTGCTAGTGGACTGGCTTGAGAGAATATCTTTTGTGCCACGACATAGCACTGATAGCAGTTTCATCAATGGTGAGTGGTCACAAAAACTTCATGAAATTGGTTGGATGTTGTCTTGAACATCCAGTCATGGTTTATCATCGTGTACAAAAACTAGATATACGTGACGAGACGTGGAAGAGGAGACCGAAGATAGCACAAGATATCGCTACTGCTTAAGCTTACCTTCCCTAGCCCCTTTGTATATAGGGTTGGGTGAATTAAATATAAATACCCGGTTGACCAAAAAAATTAGATTTATAGACATGATAATTTTAAAATTAAGTAAATATGAAAGATAAAGAAACCAAAAATCAAAAATATCCTTTTTCTTTTGATTTATTATAAAAATACCATTGAATTAAAAATTGTTTACGATTACAGTATCTCGAAGATACTGTTCACTCCGACGCGGATGACACTGTTCATTCCGAGGTTGATGATATTATTCATCATAAGATAATGTAAAATATTTTGTGATTTGTGTTGATAAATAATTTATTTACGTGATAAATAATATAGAATCGTGGTAAGTTCATATATTATGTGTTATATGCATGGTTATCGTGTTAAACGAGTTATTATACCTTACAAAATAATAATAAAATATTAGTTTAAAATTTCCAATTAATGCTTTTTTGAAAATTTCTCTTAAATAATTAACATGGTAAAAATATCATAAACATATTACATATAATGATAAAGATAACAATAATAATAATTCACTACACATACTTGTAACGTGTTAAGATATTAAATACATCGATAATATTTATATTAACATGTTAAGTCATGAAATACATCAAATAATGTTTGTATTAACATGTTAAGAAAGTAAAAAGTATTATATATTGATAAATTAGAATATCGACAGAATACCTACCTAATAAATATATTAAAGCTTGGATAATTATTTATTTTTTTAATACGTGAAATAAGTTATATATCGATAAATTAATATTTAGCATACCACAAAATATATAATCATCTTATATAAAATATTATCGATTTTGTCATCGACATTAATCTTGACAGTTAAAAGAGAAGAAGTAAAGAAAAATATTCATGAGAAGGGGTATAGAGTAAATTCATGTATCCAAACCCTGTAGAAAATGTTGTCAGAACTCTCACTTAATTTTTCATTCGTCTGTGGTCATGCATTTTGTCTCCTGATAATATCTTGTTCTTCTTATTATCGTAGTTGTCGTATGGTTACCATTTGTAAGTCTAAATAGTAAATAGTTTTTTCTTTTTTTTTTTCTTTTTTTTGCTTACCAAAATATTGAAAGCCTTTAGTCCAAGATATCACACAATATACACTTTTTGTGGGTATTATTTACATATTTACATATGGTTACCACTTGATGTCTAAATTGTTTTGATTCCACAAATAGTGAAAGCATTTATTCCATGGACACAATATGCAAAACTTGTTTTGGAGTTGTAATTTGCATATTAAGAATATCAGTGAGTTAAGATCTTTATTCTAAAATGTATACGTTACAACAATTTCATGAGCATAACAATCTTTTGAACTATCGCCAATTACTTACTAACAAGTGAAACCTTGACTCTTCTTTCTTCGCCTCCATTCCAAAATCTATCATCTTTTTAAAGTTAAAGTCTCTAAAGTTAAAGTTATACATTCATATTTCTCCATTTTTGTATCAAATGTAATATCTGATTTTATATATATATAAATGGATCTTAAAAGAAAAGAAAAAAAATTAATTATAAATTAGTTAATACTTTTTTAAAATTAATTTTCCAATGAATTTTATTAGAAGTTTTCGAAAAAAAAATTAAAAAATTATTAATTTTATTCTTTTTATTTTAAAATGAGGTTTTGAAGGCTTTAAAATTATTTAAAGCAAAAAAAATTTGATTGGCAAAATAAACTTTAAAACTTTTCTAAAGTCTTGCTTTCCAATCACCCCCGAAATCGCCATTGAAATGGCTCTCAAAGCTTCACCAGCTGCCGGATTATTCCCTCCTCTCCGTCCTACTGCTTCTTCTTCCCCTTCGACTTCTAATCGCCCTTGTTCGCTCAGGGTTCTCCCCCTTAGACCATCCTTCTTCGGTAACTCCAGTGCGTCTCCGTCTTCTCTAATTCGCTTAGGGTTTTGCTTTCTCATTGTTTGAATTGCTCGGAAGAAAATGGTGCAGCTATCTAGAATTTTCTGTGAACGTAATTGGTCTGCGAGTGAATTGAAGTAAAGTTGGGTTTGATTGCAGCTATCTAGATTTTTACCTGAAAAACTGGGTATTGATCTGTGAAGGAGCTTTTTTGTAAAACTGGGTATCTAGATTTTAACATGATTTAAAACCAATCTCATACGTATCATAAAACATTCAGAATTTTAAACATCGTAAAATCGCAAAACATCTTAGAATCACAACACATTGAAAGTTCCAAAAGATAAGCATTTTAAAACAACTTGGTTCAAATTGAAATCTTGTCTCTATCTTCCTTCTTGAGTTCTTGTCTTCTTGATTCTCTTTTTTTTTCCATATAAATAAAACCAACATAACAAATGTTACTTTTAGTGTATTACGCTTTAAAACAAAAATTGAAAATCATGAAGTATCTTGTAATACAAAACGGGACGAGTAACGGAGCGAGTAACGGAGCGAGTAACGGGGCGAGTATCGAAACGGGGCGAGTAACGAGCCAAATATCAAAAAAAATTATGATACTTGATACTTGACCCTTACTTGCAAGTAATGGAATTATACTACTTGGTACTTGCCTTGACAACACCGGGTACTTGTTTTTTCAAGACGAGTACGAGCCGAGTAGCGAGTATCAACCGAGTAACGAGTACTTGTGCCCAGGCCTACGAAATTGCCATTGAAATGGCTCTCAAAGCTTCACCAGTTGCCGGATTATTCCCTCCTCTCCGTCCTACTGCTTCTTCTTCCCCTTCGACTTCTAATCGCCCTTGTTCCCTCAGGGTTCTCCCCCTCAGACCATCCTTCTTCGGTAACTCCAGTGCGTCTCCGTCTTCTCTAATTCGCTTAGGGTTTTGCTTTCTCATTGTTTGAATTGCTCGGAAGAAAATGGTGCAGCTATCTAGAATTTTCTGTGAACGTAATTGGTCTGCGAGTGAATTGAAGTAAAGTTGGGTTTGATTGCAGCTATCTAGATTTTTACCTGAAAAACTGGGTATTGATCTGTGAAGGAGCTTTTTTGTGTATGTGATTTGTAGATTTTGTGTTTCTTGATTTAGTAACTATGAACGAGATAAATAGGGTCTCTCATGCTTCCATATACTCTCTGGGGTGACCTTGTGTTAAAATGCAGGACATGGTCTTATTCTTAGTCATTTTCTATAACTTTAGTATGCTTTGACTGTTTCACATGTCTAACATTTACTTCTCTTGCTTTTTAGCTATGTAACATATGTTGTTGGTTTGATATTTCCATGAACTTATTGTTAGATTCAATAAGGATTATTGTTATTCTATACAAGGTGGGGCTCTGAGAGTGAATGTGCTGAGATTAGCTTGTGCTAATAGACTCAGGTGCAATGGTCACGGTGCTACGATGAATCTTTTTGAACGGTTTTCTAGAGTGGTCAAGGTACTTTTAACCTTTCTGATTCTGTATCTGACTGTCATAATGCATTGGAGTTCATTAATCAGTTCTCTTGTTTATTTTTCATTTCAATAAGCAAAGTCATATGCAAATGCGCTCATAAGCTCCTTCGAAGACCCGGAGAAAATCTTGGAGCAAACTGTCATTGAAAAGAATAGTGATTTGACAAAGATGCGTCAAGCCACTGCACAGGTACAGCCCTTAAACGACGAAAGTCTTTTGCTGTAGTTTATATCTATCCATTCTCTTGTTCACCAGTTTTCTGTTTCTTAAGATTGCTTTTACTCCAACAAATGAAAGAACCTAATCATTTGAAACGGAAATGAGAAAGAAAAAACAAATCTTTTAGATTTTGTATGATTTGATATTGTTAACAAAACTGATCATGAGTGAAAATATAAAATGACACAATGATTTAGTCGAACAATCTTGTTTCAAATACATTATTTTTATCTATATATTTTTGACTTTCTATAAACTGTTGGATTCTTTAGAGCTATGATTAAATGAATTTATCGTCACGGCATTACTCAATTAAACAAAGAATCATGTCTCCCAACAACTTGTGGAAGAATTCCAACGGGTTCAAAAACTTTGTACAACTTGTGAAAACTCTCAATTTTCTTTGAAAGCTTCAACTTTCGAGAGTCAATGAAAATATTTAAAAAGAAATGATGGGGCATTATTTTTAGGGTTTTATGATATGATCCAATCGGGTGAGGACATGGAGCGATCATATTTTAAAGAAATATGAACAAACTAGCATAAATCATGTCTCTTCTTCTTCCTCCTGCGACCATTCTTACGGATCTCTTCTCACCACTCTCATCCTATTTCAAAATTAATCAAAGATTGTTCAACATAAAGTTTCATAGAAAAAACAATTTAGGTTTAGAGATGGGTTGGTGGTGGAGGAAGAGGAATAAGAAGCGAACATTGGAGGAGGAGCGAACATTGAAGAGAGGAGCCAAGTTGTTAACAGATCTGATCGAATTCGGCCATGGCATATCCAATCCCATCAAATTCTTCTCTGCTGATGAGATCCTCAAAGCCACCAACAATTTCAGCGACTCTAATCGTGTTTCCTCCGATTGGTATTCAGGTAAGAACGAGAACCATCCCATGATACTCATCAAGAAAGATGTTGGCTTGTATAGCTTGAGAGTAGATCTTATATATAGAAAGATCAAGTGGGGGTGAGTACAAGAACACACCGATTTTATTTCTGAAAAATTTAGAGTAAAAAAGAAAGAAAAATTGATTTACAGAACATATTTTCGTAACTTTGAAAATGTAGTAACCGAAAATCTTAACAATTAGATGATCTAATCCCAGCCGAGGTGTGAATTTTTGAAGAACCTTCACTAAGTAACAACCATTAAAATTTTTAAAATTGATGACATCAGCAGACCAAAAAATCCTAGAAATCACCATAATTTCACAAAAAAACAATAAAATGTTTATTTCTGAATTTCGTGGAAGGACGTCAGTATTGAATATTCAACGAAGAATCGAGTTCCTTTAGAAATATAATCCAAATATCCCATTTAGTTATCAATTGAGTGTGAGGTCTCGAATCCTTTGCTCATTTGATTTCAAAATAAAGCTTCTTTCCGTTAATTCTTAGATTTTGAGATGGATTGGCTGTGGAAGAAGAAGAAGAAGAAGAAGCCAAAATCCGATGTAGTGTCCGATATAGTGTCTGTGAGAGGAGCCAAGTTGTTAAAAGATCTGATCGAATTCGGCCATGGCATATCCAATCCCATCAAATTCTTCTCAGCTGATGAGATCCTCAAAGCCACCAACTATTTCAGCGACTCTAATCATGTTTTTCTATCACTTCCCTTCGACTGGTATTCAGGTAAGAACGAGAACCATCCCTGAGGAATTGCTACCAAGTATTGCCTGCCAGGTATTTCATGAAATGTTTCAATGGGTTATGTTGAGCTGCTTTCGTTTTTTCAGAAAAAATCGAAGAATGTGCTGAAAATAACTTCCATTCTTGTTTGTATTAAGACAATATCAAGCGCAAAGCTTTTCTTTTACTTTTGTCAGATCTCACCTTAGTGCTCGTGTCTGTATGTTTTGGGTTTGATCGATCCCTCTGTTTTTGTTAATGTTATCAAGACATTTTATGATATGTATGTGAATCTCTCCAATAGATGATATATATTGATGTTTATATATAAGTGAAAATCTCCCAAGTTCGTAACACAAGTCGTATAACTATAATATTCTAGAGTTTACATGGTATCAGAGAATTGAATGTAGAAAATTATGCTGCATGGGCAACTTAGCTGGAATATGCCCTTCGAGCAAAGCGGAAAACATGGTTCGTTGACGTAAGTTTGCAAATTCCAGCAACTACATCTCATCTTGCGATCAATATTGAACTGCGAACTCCACGACTGTTGGGTGGATTCGGGCCTCTATATCACCAAACATTCGTTCATCGGTGATATTCACCGAGATGATCATGAATTTAGTATAAATAATATACTAGATGATAACATGACTCCAGACTTTCTCCACTGTTGGTTCATCATGGAACTGCTGTCATTCTATCTCTTTTTTTTTTGTGCTGTGTGGTAATCTCTTGTTGAAGATTCTCATCTACTTTTGTAATCTGGATGTTTAAGTTAATGAAATGAGTTTGACAACGAAGATTATAACATGAGCTCGATCAAATTAATACGACAAAATTATCAATAGTGTTGTTCTCCTCGTATCGTCTGATGGAGACTATTATCAGGTGCCTTTTTTTTTATCTCCTCATCTATGGCTTTGATACGAATTTATTTTCTTATTCTTTATTGCTAAGCTACAACCTTCTCAGCCCTTACACTCGGACACTATCTTATCTAGTGTCACTACAAGAAAACATAGGATTTTCTTAACATGTTAGCCATTTAATTTGCATCAAAATGTTTTGGTTTCTCCTTGGGATAGAAATTGTGAGTCCAGCCCTGGTTTCTTAGAAGTGTTTGGACGGAGTGGAGTGGTTTATGTTGTGTAAACTGATGATGCTTTTCATGCCCTCCAGGCGTTCAACGAATTCCCTCATTATTGGCTTGGCTTGTTTCTTAACATTGTTTGGCTTTCTGTAAGCTGATTTCTATTAGATATACATATCTCATTTGCTATTAGTATTACTAGATTTAAGAATATTCAGTAGTTTAATTAATTGACAAAGCTGCATTAAGTCATTGTTTTTTACTTGGTTATGTTTACTAAATCGAAAATTTACTTCTAAGGTTCAGATTTTGAAACCTCAATAAGCTCTAAATAGAATGGAGATTTGTTGTGAATAAAAAATAGAGTTTTGAAATTGTTTGTGTTGATTTTGGTTTTGTGGTGTTGCTGTTGAAACTTCCAGGTGCTTAAGACTCTACCTTCCAGGTCACTAACTTGTAGAAGTGTAGTGAAGATGTCTGGTTTATCTTTGGTGGGGTTTCTGCGTTTGGTTTCTCTCCATAAAATCAGTTGGTCTCCATGTACAATTATTAACTCATGTTTTCTATATAAAGTTGCAAGCTTTTTCTTTGGTGTGAAAGGTAAATTAATAGTATCACTGAAACAGTGAAATGGCTGTCGATGATCAAGTTTGTTATCAATGAGGTAATAGGTCTAACGGTTTTTTTTTGTGGATATGTCTGTTGGAGTGTGGTTTGTGTGTTTGGAATTGGAATGGGTTTTCGTTTTGCTTATTTGTGTCGTTTGTTTCTGGAGTCTGACTACAATTGATTTGATATTAACTTCATTACACTCATGAAATACAACGTTTTGTATACACTCCATGCAGTCTTACTTAGTTGACATGTTCTGTTTTTTTTTTAATTGTTTCAGAGAGTTGCAACTGGATCTGAAGAGGAGTTGATCCGAGGAAGGATGAAACTCAGGTTTCAAATAGATTTTTACATGAGATTCAAAGAGACTTCATTATGGATACCACCTCTCATCAACTTGTTTTGGTGTTAGCTAGTAGTGTTAGTTTATATAAGACTTGGTTTGATGTAGTCTAAGATTTGGTATGTATGTTTTGGATATATAATTAATGCAATAGAAAATTTATATAAATCCAATTTAATATATTATGCAAAAGAGGGTACAAATATATGAAATAGAATAGCATATAACAATAGATTATATCATAAAAAAGAGTTATAGGTAAATCTAATAAGGCAAATACAAAGTGCTACGACACAATATAAAACAACAATAACATTGTGAATAAGAATATATATTGCATCATTTGTTTAATGCTATTATCGAAAACGATATAATAGCTTACCAAAAAAAGCTATTATACACGGTGATCCTATCATAGATGGGGTAGAAATAGCGTTTAAAAAAACACTATTGATTACGTATAGTAGTGCTTCTCGTGAGCTAAGAATGTGCATTCTTCTTGTAGTCTGTGGGATATTATCATGTCATTCACAAAGACAAAAGTATTTTTTTTTATTACATTATATTATATTATGCTTTATTATGTTATTTGTTACAACATTGATCAAGATTCTGTTTTTTGATGCAAGTTACATGTATTTTGATTTTTGACTCAAGGTGCATGATACGGTTAGTGAATATTGCAAGTTGGGGTGTGCATACTCTGTGTGTTGCGTCCTAACCACTCTAGAGAACTCCGGTAAAGCAAATTCTCCAAACTCATATATTATTATTATTTTGTTAAGTAAAAGATTATGTACCAAGAACCATTATAGTATTGTTATTATAACTGGAACAAGAGAATACTAATCCATTCAAATTTTGTTTCGATAACTAGATGAAAGTGAAACTTTGAATGGAGCAGCTGAAAACTGTACCAAGGCATGTTCTACTTTCTGCACCAAGGACTCTAAAACCACAATTGAAAGTTGAAATTGTCTAAACAAGATTATGTAAGTGGAGGAGTGGCTACCCTTAAGAGTACTGTTTTCATACGATAATTGTCGTGTATGTGACAAAAAGGCTAGACATATCTGGTGCTAGTATTTTAATAAGTTGTTTTCAGTTTGCGTATATGTTGTAGAAGGTTGTGTGGATCCTAGATTGTATCTCCCTTCTACTTTTTATTATCTAAATAAGAAAATATTTGTGTGTCTTTTGTATTTTGTATTTTGTGATTCCATACTTTGGTTGTAAAAGAGTTTTGTAAGGATAGTTGTTTGTGTTCTTGAAGAAAAAGTATATTGATCAGAACAATGTATCCATTTTTAGATATAATCGAACATTAATTCTTTACCAAAAAACTAATAAATCAGTGCAAATATCAGATAGGTCGTCAGTTCTTCATATTATTAGTAAGCCTATGATATATGTTCTTCCCAAGCATTCTTGTAGAATTATTGAACCACCTCCTTCAGTGTTTTTCTTTTTTTTTTTTTAACAATATAGTGAAGCCAGTTAAGTTTTCATTACGTTTACAAATAAAAGCTTTTTTCAATAATTTATATTTATTACTTCTTGCAAACATCTTTACATAAAAACCACATATATATGAGCAACAAATAAATGATAAAAATAGATAAAAACTTAATTGAGTTACAAAGGCAATACCAAGTAACTTATTCATCAAAGAATCAACAATTTAAGTGCACACTGCAGGAACATCGCGAGGAAACCTTCTTTTATCGGTGCAATAGTTGTAGATCATGTATTTACTTTGTACACCTTTCATTCTTGTCTGGCCGTTTGAATCGAGTTTTTGAGTGAACCATGGGGAATTCTCGGAACATGATGATTTTCCGTTAGCCCATACACATCCATCGACATTGTAGTTTCTGTAGAAAGCAGTAAAAGGAGCTTTTGACCAATCTGTTTTCTCTAATCCTCCTCTTGTTGCCCAATGCTCGGCTTCCCAGAGACTCGCGTAGAGCCTCATTGGTTGTCTCGTTGGGAACGGAACTCCAATTGCCTCAGAGTTTTTGAACTCTCTAATAGGAATTCCATCAACCGTAAAACTGTAAGAGGAGAAAAAAACAAAAGAGAACGTAAGTTGATGAGCGCATATATATCCTCAAAACATATAAGATTATTCAAATCGTACAAGGGATCAAAGGTTGCCCTTACATAATCCTTTGGGGATTCCATGTGATGCAATAAGTGTGAAAATTAACGGTGGGGTCGAACCATAGATGAAATTGTTGTTCTTTGTCTCCTGTGCCTTTTGTGTAAACATTAGTATGGAGAGTATACGGATGACCACTTATGTTTCCCAAGAACTCGAAATCGATCTCATCCCACGTAGTTCCCGGCGATTTTAGCTACACAGAGTCATCATAAACACCAACATGCTCAATACATGTAGGCCTAAATGTATGTACTCTAGGGAATAGCAAAAGATGACAAAAATGGTTTGAAGTTGTATGTAACGACTTACATAGAATGTTGTTACTGTTCCAGCTGAATTACCAGGAACAAGTTTCATTTGAACCTCGGCTTTGCCATAGAGAAACTCCTGGTTAGACTGAAAACCGGATCCAGAGGATTTGTCGAGCGAGAGAGAAAGAAGTTTTCCATCTTTGTCGTGAATCTTTCCGCGGCCATCACCCCAATGTATCTGAACGTCTTTGTGGAAGCTACCCGCATAGACATGCACATATTGTCCCGCAAGAAGAAACAGAATTAAGAACGAAAAACTTGTACCACAAGAAAGCTTCATTTTCTTCTCAGGAGCATTGATATCTCAAATGTATTGTTGATGGAAAATTGAGGTAAGTGACATTAGTTTATATAGTGTTTGGAAATGTTAAAGGAAAGAGAGAAGGAAGTTTCATGGGTTTGATTATTGATCGTGGGCTGTATTCTAGTTGGCTCATTCGACCTCTTGTTTGGTTGTTACAAATTGAAACCAATAAAATATAATTTCATTACTCGTTTATTGTTACAAAACAGAGAAAATAATGTATATAGACATTTTTCGTATATAACATGCTGGTCCCGCATTGAGATCACTAGAAATGGAGCCATATATTATATTTAACTTTTATAATTTTGTAAGAATATCTTTTGTTATTACAATTATTTGAAAAATATAAGAAATTCAATTGGTAAAAACATGGTTATAAACTTTCAACTGATAAAAAATAATGAAAAAAGTTGTGATAAAATGTGGTGCTAATATAACTCACAAAAGTTCTAAATTAGTTTCAGTATTTGACATCATAGGAAGGTTATTTTGGTCAAAAAGTTCAATAGGTTAAAATTTGCTAAAAACTAACTAAACATTCGTAGATGTTTAAGCACCTAGGAAATTAATTAGATATTTTTTTCTTTATATTTTTTGAATATTAAATTATTATTAAATTATTATAAATATATTATAAATTATTATAAACATTATACTAAATATATTATTTCATTTTATTTTTCCTTTAAGACATTTTATTAAAATGTAATTAAAAAACAAATTAATAGGTCTCCTACATGGCTAAGCCAAAACAATTGTTGACCTTCCAATGCCGGCCAAAATAGAGAGTGTGGATCGTTCTAGCCGTTTAGATGCTTAGCCATAACATTACTTTCTATCCAACTATTACCTGTAATTTAAATGATTTATTAATTCTATTAAGAGAAAATAGAAAAATGTATAGATTGAAGAAATATCTTAAATTACCTTTTGATATAATTTTTTTACTTTGTATGGACTTCCTAAATGAAAAATAAATCACATTACATATGTGATACAACTTTTTTCCTAAATATCTCGTTTTATGCATAAAAGATTATATACCAAAGTTTAATAAGAATCATATAAAGATTAGTTTTTTTTTTTAAGATAGCTAAAACTATTTCTTTTGTAATAATTATTTTTTTCAAATATAACTAAATTTTTTCAAGCAAATACATCAATCAAAACGAACTTAAAGGCAAAACCTGTAAGTATCACAACAATTAATAATAATAAAAAGACATCACATATAATTTTTGTCTTATGAAATGGAGAAAACATAAATGCAAACGATCAAACACTTCACTCGAAATATATCCCTTAGACTAGAGATTATTGGTGATGTTAGGAGCACAAACATCAGTGGTGGCAGTGGTGATGGTAGCGAGACAATCGATTTCGGGTTGGTAGTTGTTGCTGTCAATGCAAGGAATGCCCTCGTCCTCTCCATCACTAAGATTTTGATTCAAATCCAAAATCATACTTTGATTCGAATTTATATTCATATCCATATTAAAATCATGGATTTTCTTTGGAAGCTGATCATAAAAATCAAAAAGAGCCTCATATTGGAATTGAACAGGCTTTTGGTGATTTTGATTTTGATATTGAATCATACGACCATCAAATCCGATTTGGGCAGCTGCATCTGCAACATTAGGAAGAGGTAAAGATGAAGAAGACTCACCGTTCTCAGTAAAGATCTCAATCCTGTGAGTAAGGCCATTGAGATACTTATCAATCAATAAACTCAAATCTTGAAGATCATTTCCATCAAGATGATACACATCCGTCTCCCCTTTGAGACAACTGAACATTAAATCTCGAATATGAGAATTACGGTTCTCATCACGTAGCTTCTCCAGCTGCTCTTTTGCTTTGGCGATCCTTTGACGTGTAAAAGTCTCTTGATCCACCATCTTCTTGGTCCGGTCCATCATCGACAACTCCATAAACTTTGAAACCACTTCTTCAACGCCTTCTCTTGATGGCCAAGCCTCCGGGATCAAGTTGTACGGGCTATAGACGACCGCACATGCTTTAACACCACATAGAGTGACTAGCTCCTCGAGTTTCTTCATCATCCCTTTCTTCCTTTTGGTGAATGTTGTTTTCCTCGATTTACCATTTTCTATGAACGCTAACTTCATCTTCCTCTTCATATCTATTATCTTTGTTATGTGTGTTTTGTTTTGTTAGCATAAGGAGGATTTTTTATATAGTAAATGAAAGGCGTTTCTAATCTACTCAATAGGTTTCTTATTGCTTTGCTGGACTAATTAATTTTCAATTTTACTAAATTTTTAGGATATGGTATTAGTTTCACCATTACGTGTAGGCATGTGATTGAGTGTAAAATAATAATCATTTATCTTTAGAGACAACTAATACATATATTTTACCTTTTGGGGGGCATAAAACGAGATATTTAGGGAAAAATTTGTATCACATATGTAATGTAATTTATCTTTCATTTAGGTAGTCCATATAAAGGAAATTAAAATATTATATCAAAGGTAATTTTAAGATATTTCTTCAATCTATACATTTTTCTATTTATTATTATTTTTATATTTATATATTAATCAATAGAAAATGCTTAAATTGAAATTTACAGGTAATATTAGTTGGATGGAAAATAAGATTATGTCTAAGCATCTAAACGGCTAAAATCACCCATACTCTCCATTTTGGCCAAATCATTCGGTGCAATGTCAAAAATTATTTTGGCTTAGCCATCTAGGTGCCTGATTATTTATTTTAATAAAAATGAATAAATGAAAAATATAATGAAATGAAATATTTGATATAATTATGAATAAATGAAAAATATAATGAAATGATATATTTGATATAATTTTTGAATATTTACATTAATTAAATATTCAAAAACAATAAAGAAAAAACATACCTAATTAATTAGTTTCCTAGGCGCCAAATCATCTAGGAATGTCTAGTTAGCGTTTAGCAAATTTTGAACATTGGTATTACTAAAATATATGTAAGAATATACCATATTTTAGACTCTTAAATCTTGTGAGAAAACCTTAGATTTATCACAATTCAGTAGTTGTTCTAATTAGCCGCTCCATAGAGATGGAGGAGTCTTAAGGACAGTTCACATTAATTCGGATCAGTTTTACAAAACCAACTATTATCCACAAAGAGCTATGTACTGACACATTCACAAACTAGTTCTCGTTATTCTAATCCCGACTAACATCTTATTCTTTTCCGTCTTACAAAGATTTAACTATTGACACACCGATCCCACGATAAATAAATATGTCGATAAAGATCTCATCGCCAGAGACTATATTGGGCAACATATCTTACACACCTCATGATGCATCCCATCCATTTGAGTGGGAAACTTAACTTCCAAATAAGAGGTTTGGATATTACGTGATAGCTAATGTTTGCACAAATTTTAATTTCTCTTTCTTGGGGATTGATAGAATTTGAAATTGTTGTGATGTTGTTTCTCGATGGAGATATATTCCTTCTAGTAACATTAATATTTCTCCATCGAGAGACAACATCACAACAATTTCAAATTCTATCAAAAACAGTTTGGGTCTCGACCATGTTTAATTTATCGAGCGACCATTTATCAAAACAAAATACTCTTTATTATGGATCATCTTTTCGGTCATTAATGCCATAACCGGTCCATGATCATAACCAATCATCTATAAATTCTATACAAGTGACTAGGAGAAAAGAGTGTACTAATCTTTATTACTAAGTGCACGGTCCAACCGACAAGGCGACACGCGTTGTTAGATTTTAGGTTTTTTCTTTCTATGACAACTGATTTTCTAAACAAGGTAATTTCTGCCAAAATTTTGGATCATAAGATTAAAAGAGATTAAAAAGGACGTAGGTCGGACTCTTCCTCCTTGTTTCATGATTAATGGTTACTCAGTTAAAATTGCCTATCATGTACCAAAGGCTTGATCGTTTAATACCAATTCAAGTGAGACGTTCCCAAAAATTATTTCGAAATTGAACGCTAAAATCTCTATAACAAAAGTCATTAAAATTGTATTCCTTAGATAAGAGGCTTTCACATCAATAATTTTATTACGGGAGAAGATAACATTATAATTCAAAATATTATTAGAAAGAAGAGCTAAACCACTACTCAGTACTAGAAATTTAACGGTAAAAACATTGTCATAACCAAAATACAACTTCAATATATAAGAAGAGGTAGAGATTCCTTTCCACGGCATACGTGAGATGGGCAAGTGCCCTATACTCTTTTATTTTTTCAAGTAATTTTTTTATACATTACAATAGTCCATGTTAACAATACAAAGAAAACAACATTAAAAATGCCATAATAACCAATTAAAAAAGAAAATGTGTAATAAGCCCACATAAATGCTAACAAGTGAGAACGTTGGTTATGAGATATGATATGACTTATGAGGTATCGTTAGGCAGCCCAACTTGGGCTAAAAAAATTGTAAACGATTGCTTAGTTTATTTTGTTAAAAGATCTATACTAGTATTTTTGCAACACTTTGATGACGGGTGGGTTAAAATTCTTTTGGGTTAATCAGATATCCGATCCGTTTCAAAATATCCTTCACAAAAAATTTGTTGGATCGGGTTATATTTAACCCAACTCATACACCGGATATTCCATATTTAATAATTTAGATATTTAGAATATTTGATTAAGATTTATAATTATGATTCTCCTATCATCTTTGTTTGATTTGTTTCTAACTGTTTTGAATCATCATATAATACATAAAGTAAAAAAAAAAAATCAAATTTTTTTTCTGCATATACTGTGATTCGAAATTTTTAAAACGGACATATATTATCCAATTGAAGAAAATGTGTGTTCAACGTTTTACATCGATTAATATATTTAGACAATGATTCAGAATCATATCATAAATAAGAACATTAATAAAATAAATGAGTTTTTGGCCGGACGGGTTTGACGGGACGGGTTTTTGAATCAGCAATAA